CCAGGTGGATCCATTCTACCGCCACGAAAACCACGGCCGTACACGACATCCACTGCGTCGGCAGTGGACGACAGATTCCGCGGTGGAGATCCAGACGGGAAACCCGGTGGAAAGATTGGAGAGGGTCCAGACACGTCAAGGTATATATACATGATTTCCATTTCGAATTCTTCTTTCTGCTTTTATTAATATCGATTAAATTGGGGTTGACAAAGGGTCTATTAATCTCAAAGTATCGTCATTGTGCTTTTTGAACATGGATTTTTACGTTTATATCCGTTATGATAGGAAATTCGTGAGATTTTGTAAAATATAGTATCAAATTTACGCGAGTTTTATTTTTGGTTTTTGATAATATTGGAAATTATAAAGGTTAGAAAGAAGATGTTGTTATTGAATTTTTGTTAACCTCTTGAGAGGGAAGGTTAATTAGTTTTATGTGTCTTTAAAAAGATAAAAACTATATTTTAAGAGATTTTGAATTTGTTGAAGAAAAATTATATATAGAAACTGTGGTATTTTAGAAGAAAAAAAATTGACAACCCTTAAAATGTATTTCATTCAAATACATTCAATAGTATTAAATAAGACAGAGAATATTAGAATATTTTAAAATATTTGAAAGATAATATATACATATATGTATGATGATTATATTTTAGTATTTCTTGAAATCATCATCTATTCAAAAAAAAATTAACACATATGTATCAATATTGTATAAGAGGTTAACGTAGTGGTTCTTAACCTTTTAATAATCAGAGAACAGTTTTGATTATATATATAATAAATTTACGAAATACGAAGAATTATATTAAATAAAAATTGTTGTTGAACGTAACAAAGTGCAAGTATGCCTGAAAGAAAAAAAAATCCCGAAATTTATGCATCACTGTTTCCTAGGGAACGTGAAAGTCATGTCTTTAGGTAGAAAGTTTCGAAATGAAGATAAAAAAGAGCGAAAACGCTTCAACTACCAAGGTACATGCATGACATAGTTTTACAGCTTTGATCGAGCACTGGCCTTGGTTCAAAATATTTAAGCAGATATGTAGTTACTTTATGGATATGCATGTCACTTGCGAAGATATAATAAAAGCAAGGGTTTGAAAAAACTACCCCTGGACATAACGAATGAATATCGAAAATGATATATGATAAATTTTCTTGAATGTCAAAATCAGAGTACACGTGTAATTCAATCGTAAAAATATTTTAATATTTTAAATAAGTATTTACATTATAAAATTATTATAATATGTATTTAAATATATTATGAAAATAGTCATATTTCTGTCTGAATAAAAACTAAAGTTAATTTTGCTAAAAATATCTGCATGTTTTTAATTATTACAAAAACAATAAAAATTAATCATTTTTATTACTTTTAATATTTAATTAAATAGTATTTAATTTTTAAATACTATTTATTCTGTAAAATGATTGTAAATAGTATTATTCCATAGGCTACATATAATTTATATATTTTTTAACATTCAGATTTGAAGAATGCATGAATGACTTTTTAATAAGTTTTTAAAATTATCTAAAGCAATAATACTTTTCCTCGAATGATATTTTATTTAATTTATTTTAAGATTATTATTATTAAAGTTTTAAGACAAATTATTTATTACATCTATACATTTGTTAAAAATGAATCTTTGTTCGATCCATCTTTTTTTTTTTAGATACATAAAAATTCACATATAAATATCTAAACGCACCATTAACCTTTCCATCTCATTGACGAACTAAATATTTCACAAGAGGTATCCTACTGTTTCCTTTCACTTCTTTACCTATTATTCTCCTCCATCCACACTGCAATTGCTCCCTCGATATCCCCTACATTTCGAAGCATTCGATCCATTTTGTTCAACATAAACATCACCTAAGTACATACCGGTAATCTCAGTAACCCCGTTCTCATGATCAAGCCACAGAATCGTGTGCCACGATACCATAAGTGGCGTACCTCTAATAAAACACGAAACTGGCCTCTAAAGTTCAAGCACACGTATTTACCCCCTCCTCCGTTTCCATTTTCCATCGTCGGAACGTTAAAAGCCGGCACGATAATGGAAATACCGGACGTTGATGTATCTTAATAAGATAACACCGTTTATGCTCGTTATTTATTGCCTATTAATCGGCGTGGAACCAAAGGACCATAGGCGTGTGCACCATTTAAGGTGTTCCCCTCGAGGCGGCTTCGAGAGGATCGCCGACGTCGCCTCGAAGTCACGTCGTCGTTTCGAGCGCCGATATATCAACCGATCAAGGAAGCCTCGAGACGTTTCGCTTCGCAATTTACCAGCCGCACCGTATTTTTCCACGCGTTCCTATCGAGACGTGTCTCACGGTAGCCTTGACATCGGCCCGCCGCCTTTATCTCGAATGTATCTACTCGCTGCTACTTGACCTCCCCTTTCCCTTCGATCCGATATCTCAAATCTTTCACCCTCCGAGGGTGATAGAACGGAAAGATGTCCGTTGCAATCGCCCTTCTCTTTCTTCTTTTCCTCTCGTTTCTTGCTTTTTCTCCTTCGTTCTTTGGCGATTCTGGAACAGATGTTCACGATTGTTCTTTGTCGAAGAGCAATGAAGGTAGGTATTCGGAAGAAGATAGTAGGGAGAAGATGGTAGGTTTTAGGAATGGAGGTTTTTACGAGCCCTGAGAGAAATTGAATTTGCTAGGGTTGCGATGGTTTTCAACTCCGCCTTTGCGGTTTATGGCATCTCCGTTTCGTGTTTACAGTCGATACTTTTGATTAAAGCGGAAGCGACACTAATACTTCGTTTCCAATTTTGTTCTTTTTTATCTTATGTTTTCTTGAATTTTCGTTGATTGAAGTTTTTTTTTAAGAAGATTATTAAGGAATCTTTGACTGAAATTGTTCTGAGATATGTTAATTAAATTAAATAATATTAATACTTAATAATATTCTTTAATTTAATTCTTATAATTTAACTTAACTCTTTAAGAACGTGATTTGTCCCACGCAAAAACTTTCGAGCTGATTATTTTAACTTTAAATGTTTTTTCTATTAGCAAAATGCAATAAAAAAAGTTAAATATTATATTTATGTATATAAATGAAATAATTGAAATTAATTTTTATACAACAAAGATAAAAATTCATAGAGCTTAAAATTTAAAAACAACAACATGTTCTACGGTTATTGCACTTAAATTCTGCATATTCAATTATACATGCACGAATTATACATGCGAATTTTTCTTTCCACTGCACTATTCCACCTACAGTCATTTCCACTTAATCGCTACATGTTTTACACGTGCTTGAACACATAACTGAACACAGTGTACTGATATGTATTCCAGTTGTCCTCCGCATTCTTTATCTCTCGTATTTTCTTAATCCACCAATTATTCTTTTTATCATTCATGCTCCATCTACGTTCATTTTCAATTAACCACGGCACATTTAATAAATTAACGATCGAGCTACGAATTTAATCGTCGTTTGTATCCTTCGTGTCTTTAATGTTGCTACTTCATACATATTAATTTATTCTTGGACCTCGACATTCTTTTTCGAATTTTTCTTTTTTTTTTTTTACCCTTTTCGTTCCATTTACTTCTTCTTCCAATAACTTGAAATACAGATATATTACAAATACGATATTATGAATTATTTTACGTTTTACTTAAATTCGAAGACATTTAAATTTTTTTAATCTATTTGAAAATCATTAACACACATACTTAAAACACCTCTATATTTATACGCATCATCAACCAAGAAATTTATTTCTATTCGCATTTCATTCAATTTCATTTCCATATTACATATCAATATGTATTCTTTATTCACCCTGTCATCCACAGCGTTCTAGTACTCTACTAGATTCAGACCACATATAATTTACCTGGCACACTGGTATATGTTAATTTATATCCTAGCCTCGGACATTGCGTTTTTCAAATTTTCCCTCGCTCGTTTCCCTCGACTGTTCCAGACACGTGATATATCTTAGGCTCGCGTAGGCAGTAGGTAGTCACAAAAGCTCCCGATCCAGGCTGTCCTCCGCATCGCCTCGGTTCTTTATGGTCGACCCTTTTCCCACTCTGAAAGACCGAACTCGTTACGCGGCCATGTAACGAAACGCAGCCGCTCTTTCATCGCCGTCGACCACTATTTGTCAAGTTCTCCTCGTTGGAAAGGCCATTAACGTTCCTCCTTTTCCTTTCGCAATGCCGGCCCTTTGTTCTTATCTACTTGACTATAACAATAAGAAGTATCTAGTCATATTTAGCCAGTTCGCATTACTAATTCTTATCGACTAACAACTTTCTTAGTGACTGGTCACTTTCAGCTTTTTAGCTCGTGAAACAATGTCTCTTTTCAAATGATGTGATCTCTTGCTCCGTATCCTGAAGAATTCTTTTCGATGATATATTATCGTTTCTTCTTTTTACGTAATGGAAAACAACGCGTTCGTTTTCTTCGATAAATTAAACTTTTTCATCACGCATTCCATTTATGTCGCAATGATCGTGGAACAAAGTTTCCATTGAATCGTTTTTCTTTATATTGGATTTTTGCAGATCACCAAGTCGATCTAGTTTTTCGGATATAGAGAGACTGGTTTATACTTGTTGCAGGCAGAATTATAGTTTTTTTTTATTCTTATAAGGTTTTCTTAAAGATATTATTATTTTTAATTACATTAATTCAAAATTTCAAATTTTAATAATCACAAAATTTATTCTAATTAAATTTTTACTTTTGACGAGATAATTTTTATTTTTGGATCATAAATTATCATTTAAATAATATTAATACGTAATAATGTAACGTAAAGATGATAAAATAAATTACTGTCATTATAATTAAAATATATAATCCTGTTAATGAACTATAACTTTTAAATTATTTCTTTGGGATACTCTTATTTACTCTTTTAACTTATTTCAATTCAATCTGTTTAACCAAAACACGTCTTTCTATAGCAGGTTCAATTACCGTTCGCATTAAGTCATCATTCACGGCCATTCTATGTTTCGGCCAGTCGATCGACCCCTAAGTTTCAGGCAGCGCGCCAGCAACTGGATCTATAAGGTCAGTCTTAACGTAAAAACGCGCGGTGGCTGGCTAATGCGGAATTCTCTATGGCGGTGGTCTTTGCCAAATAGGTCAACCGTGTGTGTGTGTGTGTGTGTATGTGCGTAGAAGGAAAAGAAACGAAGGGAAAACGTGGTAAAACTTTACGTGAACAACAATTTCCACGTCATTCGAGAGAGTCGTAGAACTCGGCCTATTGTCGCGATCTATACTATTTCCTCTAAACGAATTATCGTGGATTTAGCAGTGGATAGCCTTGAAGAAGCACGAGGGTCATAGAATCGATCTACTCGTGTTCTTTCTCTTTCTCTTCCTCTCGTATTTTTGCTATTTCTATCTCGACTCTCTTTTGCTCGACATATTTCTTTTTCTTTTTCATCTTGGTCGGAAATTGTTGGTTTGAGAGAATATAAGAATGGTCAGAGAGGAGAAACGAAAGGTATTGACCTTTACTTCTTTAGTCCTCTTTGTAGTGGTCAGTCGAAGAGTATATATGAACATGTGATTGAGGTTAAAAGAGTATTTAATCGTGTGTCGCAATTCTTTTGACAAAATTTCTTTTCAACAAAATTTATTTTTATTTTTTATAAAATACAAATATAATTTACAAAGAAAAGAACATTTTCAAAAGGCACTTTCATGTTTTTATTTTAACAATTGAAAAAAAGACAGAAAAGCCTTTAATTTTTTGATAAATTAATTTTTTAAATTACACTATCTAATGTTTTTATTTATATTATAATTCATAATTCCACCGTGCATTATTTCCTATCTTAAAAATGAAAGAAACACACATATCAACAAATTAATGTTTAACTTTGATTACTTTCCCTTTCTTTGTTCTTGTATAGAAATAGCAAAGAGAACGAGTTGATTAAAATTGACGAAAAGTCTTGGCACAGAGATCGTTAGAAAAGTAGAAAGAGTTTCCCTCTCTCAGCAAAATGCCTTCCCTCGACGGTTCGCAATTATTCACTAATTATAATTTATTCACTAATTGCTGTGCAGCCTGCTGATGTACCAGTAATTTGATTAACGAAAAATTGCGACCCGTCAAATGTTTTTCATTCGGTATGGTCGGTTCGGCACTCCCTTCGTTATCGCTCGAATAAATCCGCGACTTCAATTAACGTCGTACACGCCCACGCACCCACTGCTTCTTAATTGGCAAATGATTTTTTGCTACGGAGAACGCCAGCTTGAGCTTAACCCGTAATTCAACATTTTCAGTGGGGATTTTTCATTTATAACGTCCATATAGGAGAAAATTGATAAAATTTAATAGAATTGAAAAATTGATTTGATGAAAATGTTGATAGCGTTGAATAAAAATTTGAATTAATATTAATTGGAATTAATATGTGGTTGGAACAATAAAATATATAGATGGAAAATCTTAATTTCTTTGAGAGCTTTTAAAGACTTTTTATATTTCTTTTATTATGATATATTTTAGTGTAACTGAAATTTCCAGATATAAAATTTATCCATTGTAAAATATATCGCAATATCCCAGGAGTACCAGTAGTTTTACCAAGACTTACTTTAATACTTGTTCAGACACATTTTGTAAAATATTAGAGCTTGAAATTCGTAAGAATTATATGATCTCGAAAAATTTCAATTCTTTACGTATTTTATTTATTTTTATTCAATTATTATAATAAATATCTTCATCGACTTTGCGATTTATATTAGTATATTTTTTTATTAGTAATGTCTTTTTCATTTAAATGATTACTTTTATTATTTCGAAACTAATAAAGGACAATAGCTAAATGATTAATTTCGGATCAATGTGAAAAAGTTTTACAAAATATATTTCTACAAGTTTTAATATTGATTAATTATTATAATTATTAATATTAATCCCAAGAAATTTTTTACTGGTAATCAGAGCCAAAATTGGCCAATTTCTAGCACTATTCTTTCTATTTCCCTAGATGTTATTTCTCTGGTCAAGGGAGCCAGCTCCTGGCCCAAGAGCCGGCCCCTGGTTCGCGTGGTTCGCCACAGCCCTGGTTCTCTGGCGTTGTCGACGAAGCGTTGCCAAAGCGATCCTAGCCGTATCACCGTTAAGATTATTGAAGAAACGAAATCTTCTACCGTTAACCATCTCGAAGGCCTCATCCACGGCGACGCTCACGGACCAACATCAAAGACACAGAACGGAAAATTCTATATTGCAACGGAAGCAACGGATAAGAACGAAAGTGAAACGATTGTGCACCGGTGACGGGCCACATGTGACCAGCTCGACGTTTTCGATCCAAAGCCAGCAAATTCATTATAGAATGACCAGAAGCGGCAAAATATACGGGAAATATCCGAACAAGGTCACTACACCGGTAACCACCGGCCAGGGAAACCATTGAAGCGCGACCACTCCATTTTCTCCGATTGTTTAACGCCGACAGCTCTCGTTTTTTGCGCGACCGTGGCCGTTCTCGTATTAATCGCCGCCGTTTCTCGTGGTCCGAATTTCAACTCGATAAACCACGTGTGCATGTACGAAACGTATCCTGGGTTTGTTGCTATAAAGTCATTTCGTCAAACTCACGTGTATTTTTGTTCGAATGTTTGGCGAGTTGCCGTGTATCGGGGGTCGCTGTAATGGGTTTGATGCGGTTGATCAAATTGCTTTTAAAAAGAACGTACATCTTTTGTGAAATACTGTGAAACAAATTGAATCAAAGTGAAAGTTTGGAAATATTTTAGCGAGGAACAATTGTAGAAAGTTTACTTTGATTCGGTGTGAAGTGAACCATGGAATTTTTGTAGAGGTTAGTTTTCTATTTAACTGGCACGATGGTTTCTTCTACGGGTGATTAAATCAATGGGTCGAAAAGTTTTGCATTGAGTTTGATAGAAAGACAAAAGTGCATTTTAACGAAAGAATAAATGCGAAGTAGGTCAGAAGCAAGTTAAGGAAATTTGTGGGAAGGTAAGTTTTTACAATGGGATATCTCAAATTGCGTTTTTGCTATAATAATATTTTTACAAAACTTATATATTAATCTAGAAATAATCAACAATTAATATTAGAAACACAAGAAATTTTCATTTCCACACAATTAATTTATAGTTATAGTTATAATATTTTCGAGAAAATATATTAAAACAAATCAAAAATCATTATTATCTGATAAATCTGTGATTAAGAATGTAAAATTTTCCTACTTCCAATATCGTTCTGTCGATATTCCTTTTAATTAAGATTTTTATTACACCCAACATTGATCATGAAAACAAAGTGTGTTCGATTTAAGTCACATCAAAGGATTTAAGCAATGACTATTAGTCTTCTTGCTTCTTCCTGATGTCCTCGGCACATTTTCAAGTGTCGAGGTCGTTTGACAGAGACCTTCGTCGAGGTCACCATTGTATCCAAGATCCACGACGATCGCGAAGCGTCGTTTTGGACTCATGATCTGTCTCTATCTCTCTCTCTCTTCTCCTCCTCCTAAGAGGAGAAGATCAATAAGCGTTAGATGCGTTCCAATGGCTTAGGATATCCTTCATATCCCGCGATAAGGTTTGCATCTTGCGCAATCGTTCGTTGACTGACCGTTCTAGGTCGCTTTACAATTTATAGAAATTCTGCTTATACGATCTAAGCAATATCTATATATAGACTTTACGTTTTATCATAATATCATTTTTTATGAAGTTTAGTGAGTGAAATTTAACTGATGAAGCTTTAAGATTTTAGATAATAATTTGTCTAGTGAAAAAAAAATTCAAATTCTGATGGAAAAAGTTAAAAATATTTATAAGAAAAAGAATTATTTGTATTAAATTCATGAAATTTTAAATCTTTCTTAATATAAAAAAAATATATTTTTGTTTATCTAATACTTCTGTATAATGTATCATAAATCACCAATACATAAGACGCAAAATTAAAATAAAATTTTATAACGTTCAATTAATCTTAGGTTTAATGATAAATAGAAGAAATAGTGAAACATAGATAATCAAGATTCTAATATTTTAAATTCAAATATTATCTATATTAAAATAAACATTAATAAAAAGTTTTTTATTATAATGGATATTATTGATAAATTCCAAGTAATCTTTAACATTTTTCTAATTAAAAATTATATTTTCTCTTCAATAAAATGAAGAAGAAAGAAAAATAATTTAATAATTTATGAAATTTCAATTAAAGAAGCATTTAAAGAATCATCTATTTTTTTAGTAATAGCCTCCTTCCACCGATCAGATTTGCGTGCAATAGTTTCCTCTAAATCGTTCGACTTCGTTGTATCGTTGCACGTGAATTGTCACATAAATTCGAGCGCAACAATAAAACGGTCGCGCAAGTTTCTAATCAGAGATGTACCAATTTGACACAATGGCCACTGGTTTCAGAATGAGCGTATCACGTTTCAGAATGAAACGTAACTATGCCAAATTTAATGATTCAACGCCCTATTGCGTCAGTTAACAACGCCATCTGGCCTGATGCGTCGCCCCTGAGTTTCGGGGGATCCCCGAGGAACACTCCTTAACCATGTTCTCGATCGACGGAGATGGAATTATAAATAGAACCCGTGTCTGAGGGTAGACAATGGAGGCATCCGCAGAGTGGATGTATATACATAAAAGCTTCTACAAAAATAGAACGATAACACGAATTTAAAGAGTTCCATTCGACAGTGCAGTTGCACCCAGCGCATCGTCCTTAGATGCTAATCTTCTGAGGTTGCTTAATGAAAAAAATAAGATTATTTTCGTCCATGTACATATATTTTAGAAATGGATGGTTCTCATGTTTTAATTTTTAATTATAAGCATCTTATGATTTAACGTAATCAAGATTAATATTTTCGAATGATATGAGGCACATTTTGAAAATGTTTTGTATTTAATTAATTTTGTCATATAGTCAAACAGTATTATAATTTTTCGATAAAACTGCTGCTAAAAGATAATGGTAAGTCAATTTGTTAAGAGAACACTATTCCAATAAAAACATTATTTTGCACATCCAATTTTTTTCTATATATCTTAGTCGACAAAATATTTTAGTTTTAATTTTCAAAAATTATATGCAAAAATATTTTAACATTTCTAGGAATCCTCTCTTAATGAGGCTTATCAAAGATGATTAATTCATTAAATGATTCAATCTAATCATTTTTCTTTATTGTACTTTTATATTTCAATACAATTTATGGTGTCTTTAATAATCTTCCATTTCATTTATTTTTTATAATTTTATGTTTACGTTTTATTATAAAAAATTTTGAACATATTGAAAATTATTACGAATATGTTATTCCTTGAATACAATTTCTGAATTTTTCACGAAAAAAGTATAGAATACATTGCCAAGCTCATAATCGATCATAAGATGATATTGTGTTGATGTCCTTCGCAAACAGACAAAAAATATCTGCGTTGTGTCAAATAATGTGATTAGATTTCATAGATGTTGATTAGAATCTTCGTTCTACGCAAAAAAATCTTCGTTCATCATTATTGCAATATCGCCGAAGGCTTCTTGCGAATCGTGCATGTGAATTTACTGTTTTTTAATCAAGAGCACGAAAATAGCACTAGGGAAGACTTAATCAGCCTGTCTAACGTGAGTGGATGAAAGGAGGTTCTATCTGATTTGAATAGAACGACGTTGGGATGAGGCTTCGGTAAGGTCACCCAGCAAGATCTTGTCTATACTGAATTACACGATCGTCAATTCCACGTCATGAATATACTATATCGACCAAATAATACTGACTCATCGAAAAGTAATTCTCTGTTTATATTTTATTCTATATAACAACGTTAATAGAATTATTCACTTTTGGCACGTGTTCTTAACAAGATTAGATCTTACAATAATCATCTTAAAATAAATATTTCAATAAAATTCAATAATTTCTTTAAAAAATCATATAAATTATTAATCCCTTAATAAATTGGTAAATATATGCTTGATTTCTTTTCAGATATTTTAGAATTTTTTTTTATTTTATCTGCCTTTATTATTTAATATTTTTAAATATATTTCAAATAAATATAATAAATGAAAAAATAAAATATATAAATATGCAGAATTATTTCAACAAAAATTAATATTATTTTCAAAAGAATTAAAGGATTACTTAATAATTTTTACAAATTATAAAAATAAAAATCTGAAATTCATCAGTTTTAATTTGATAATTCTGATATTGGATAGTGATAAATAGAATTGAAAAATAAAATCAGTGAGTATAGTCTTGTCTACTTGGGTGGTTTGCAACATGACAAAAATAATTAAATCAGCATATATCTAGTCCAGTACACGTACCTCGCGTTCCTGTTATCTCGACGAAGTGCATCTTACAAAGTGGTTTCACTTTATCATTGGCTCTCACTCGCGTGTTTCACATTGGTTATTTATGTCCAACGATGAGCGAAGAGAAACCTTCGTCGAGGTCGCTCTCGCGCGTCGAATTTTCAATTAGATTTGCATAATGACCGTTTAAAAGATACTCTAGCTGGCTTGCTAGGGTGAAAATTGAATTTACACAAGCAGTTACATTCTCACTTTTGCAAATTGCAATATCTCTCACGATAGAAAATCGATTATACGAAGAATGGGAAGAAATGATTTATTATGATTAAAATATAATAACAGTTGAATTTTCATTTTCAATAAAAAAAAGAAATCAAATTATAAGGAAGAGTTTTAATATACGTTTATAAAAAAAGTAATCATTAAAAATCAACAACGATAACAATTTCAATATTTTCACTTTCTCTAATATATAACGAATCAATGTTATAAATTTTTCATTTGATAATCAAAATGCATGATAAACTATAAAATTTCACGAATAGTTTATCAATGTAACAATTTCGAATTTGAAAACTGAAAATGCTTAACTAGAAAGCAAATTTAATTGAATAAATACTCATAAAACTGTAACATTAAACAAGTTCGAGTAAATTTCCAATGTAAATTTCATCCACTCATGTATAATAAAGAATCATTAAAATCAGCCATTATATCAGAATCGATAATGATAAAAATCGAAAACTAGAGTTTATTTTAATCACAAATATACAGGAAAAGAAATCAGAAGATTCAATTTAAAAATTATAAAATATGATCCATCAAGTTCCAAATTTTTATCTATATAATAGACTGATAAATCATGCGATCAAAATATTTCAATACATAGATAATAGTTTCAAATTTTCTATTACACCATTTTCTTTCCGGTTCACTCTGTTTCGATCTACGGATAGATATCGAACTACAAATGGGATTATTGCGTTGTGCAATTGCAGCAGTAGTAAATCCTTCGAGATTCCGGATAAAGGTTGTTCTCTATACGATCATCATCATGCTACACCAGTCAATAGACTGTTATTTACGGATCATGGAGTGTTATGTAACACCGACAAGAGTCAGGTTCAGGTGGAAAGGTCGTTTCCATGTACCTCACTTTTCACTCACCGGAACAATTAAATGTAGGATATCGCAAGAATCGCGTTTTCGATTTAAGCTGACATGGACGATGTACGGTTTCGATTTCTCGGTGTCTTTTAGAAGTGGTTAGTTTCAGTAACGTTAATTAAAATTTCAATCTTCGATGTTGCATCTTACTGTGAATAACTAATTCACATCGTTCTATTATGATGATTTATTTTTTTTTATATGGCTACAAGATTTATAGCAAATTTTTTAAATTGGTTTATTTATTTTAATGATACATTTTAGACACTATCACATGTAAATGTACAGATATTCATGCATTAATAGAAAATTTAAATATACAAAATATTTTATAGAGATTTGTACAATATGCAAAAATATAAAAATATTGTAAGAAAAGTATACATTATTATTTAATATAGCATAGTATTCAATGAATGAATCTCTATTTAAATTCTATTTATTTTATTCATGAATTTCATATTTATTTGTATATGATGTAAATT